TACTACTACTACTACTACTACTACTACTACTACTACTACTACTACTACTACTACTACTACTACTACTACTACTACTACTACTACTACTACTACTACTACTACTACTACTACTACTACTACTACTACTACTACTACTACTACTACTACTACTACTACTACTACTACTAGACTACTACTACGACTACTACTACTACGACTACGACTACTACGACTACTACAACAACAACTACTACTACTACTACTACTACTACTACTACTACTACTACTACTACTACTACGACTACGACTACGACTACGATTACTACGACTACGACTGCTACAACGACTAGTAATACGAATACTACCCGCGTCGGTTGGGCGGGCCGGGCGTTTCGCCTGAGACGTCCTCCTCACGTCCTCAAGATGTGGCTCTCGCCTTCGCGCCGCGCGCATTGCTCTTAAAAGCTTTCGCGAGATTCACTGATAGAGGGCGGCTCCCTTCCGAATGGTGGCTCTCGCCCTAGCGCCGCGCATAACCATCTTAGAAGCTTGCAAGAGCTGCACGGACGGACGGCGGTTCCTTTCCAAAGTGTGGCTCTCGCCTTAACGCCGCGCACATTCGTTTGAACAACTTGCAGGAATCTCACGGAGGGAGGGCGGTCCCTTTGAAACACGAAGCTCTGCGCCGCGCAACTTTGTCTGAACAGTTTGCATGAGGTTCACGGATGCAGGTCGGGTCGTTTTCGAAATGTGGTTCTCGCCTTGGCGCCGCGTACATTAATATTAAACTTCTACAGCAATGAAAAGGATGATTGTGGTTGACGTCCCAGAAACAGGCTTGTGGTACGATTTAGGATTGCAAGCGTCAGGGCGCAACAGTATGTTGATTCGCGGCGTTGACTTCCCAGGAATGGCGTACACGTGCGATGCAGAATCGCCAGGACGCAACAGCAACGTTGATTCGCATCGATGAAGTCCCAGGAAATGTGCACTGGCACGATTGAGAATCCTCAGACGGTTGTCTTTCAACGGGGCACTTCCCACAGTGAAAATAAATTCTTGTAGGGACCTGTGAAAGAAGAACTTGTAGGGAGGGTTTACTGCAACATCGTTGCTGCATCTTGGGTTTACCGTGGTCCTCCTCCTCTTCTGCCTCCTCCTCCTCCTCTTCCTCCTCTTCTTCCTCCGACCCAGACACCCGACGCCGAGATCTGGCCACAACTCACAACGTGAACGCCTGGAGGTCTCAACCCTGTCCCCCGCGCCAGCTTTTCGTCCCGAATCGTCTGCAAGGGCTACAGGGCCTGACAAAGGCCCCATAGAGCTGAAAAATGGCAAAAACCTGCTCACGCCCGTTTCATTCCTCCACGACGTGAGGATCGATGCCATCGCCGTCGGGCCTCGCGGCATTCATCCCCACCTCGAGGGGGTAGGCACGCGGCGCTGAGGAACCCTGTCCCACTGGGGATGGGGAAAAGTCTGACGAAGCTAAGGGAAAAGGGGGGCCAGCCGCTCAAATCAAGATCGGCCAGCATCGGATCGGGAAATCTGATCAAATCGGAATACGCGTCGGACCGGGCCGCATCTGCACGGAACTGGAATCGAATCAGATCGGTCACGCCAAGATGCCCATCATCGCCATGCAAGCATCGGGCCGCATCGGACCGTCGGAGCATCGGAATCGAACCAGATCGAACCGACCAAAATTTTCATCGAATCGGATCGATCCGACCGACATGGACCTTCCCCGCTCCCGATCCGAGCAACTCTCGGGCCACAGCTCGGCTCCCCGGCGCCCTTTCGGGCCGACCCCGGGCACCTCCAGAACGCCCTCTAAAACAGGGCTAAAATCGGGAGAAGTCGCTCCAGAGCGTTCCGGAGCGCTCTCAGAGCGTTCCGGAGCGCTCTCAGAGCGTTCCGGAGCGCTCTGGAGCGGCCGCGGCGCCCAATACATCCTCCAAACCCGCCGATTCTCAGAGATTTCGAGTTATCCCGATCCGATTTTGGCCCTATCTTCGCGTCGTTTTACCCTCGGCGAGGCGCAGCTGCTGGAGCGCACCCCGAGGCCGGAAAAAACGCCCAGAAACCGACGAGGAACTCCGAAGATCTCGAGCCTCGTCGTGGCCCCCTCTCGAACCTCGAACCTCGAAAACATCCATCGGATCCAATCGGATCGATCGGATCGAAATCGGCCCCGCAAGGCCAACCGCGGGAGGACACCGCCACTTCCGTCGGCGTCCGCCGTCTTTCCTGTTGGTTCAAACGCAACGCCCATTGCCCAGGAAGCTTCGCGGGGGCGTCAGCAACAACGGAGGAAACAGCGCGGCGCGATCGCCACCCCCCCCTCTGGCGGAGAGAGAGGCGCGAAAAGGCCTCCGCTAATTAGCGCGGCCCGATTCTGAAGCATTTCTCGAGTTGAGTTCGTCGCGACGGAGGAGGAAGAGGAAGCGGAGGGCACGGAGTCGGGGGAAGGCACGACGAGAGGAGAGATAGGAAGACACGCCACGCGGCCCCCTTCACACACTGTCTTCATATTCTTCTTTCCCCCCCTTGCTCGACTCCGCCGCCGCGCCGCCCTTGGACGCCTGGGCCCCCAGCACATGGGCCGCCCTCGGGCGGGTCTCGCTGTCGCACTGCAGCTGGACGCCGACTGCCTCGCGCGCCCCGTTGACCCTCCGCACCTCCAGCGCCCCCATGGAGCCCCGGGCCTTTGTTCTCCGCGAAGATCCCCTCCAACTCCGCGCCCTCGCCCTCGCCCCCCTCGCCGTTGATCTCCACCCTTATGCACCCGGTCGCCACGAACCCCTCCTTTGGGTCCTGGGCCAGCATGCCCATGCACAGCAGCGCCTCGAGCGTCTGCTCTGCCCCGCTCCGATCCGCCCCCTGCACCAGGGCCTCCGCCGCCTGCTCCTTCTTGCCACCCACCGCCGTCGCCATGCGGAAGATCACCGCCTTCGCTGGCGCGTCGGGCCACTTCGCCACTGGGTTGCCCATGAGGTCCACGGTGGACTCCCGGCCCTTCGCCTTCCGACCCTCTGCTGCGCAGTACGTCATCGCCTGGCCCAGCGCCATCTCCAGCTCCCGAGCCGAGTTGAGCGGGGGGACGAAGCAACGCCGCAGGGCCATGCTCGCCGGCACGGGGGGCCCACGATGCCCAGAACCACGCCACCGCCCCTGTCCACGACCCCTTCCCCTGCCACTGCTGCTGGTCTGCGGCCGCCGGCTGCCGACGCACGCGCCTCGCCGCCCCGCTCGAACATCAGCGCTGACCTCGAACGGGGCCTGCAGGAGGGGGGGGGGGCGCCGGCCACTGGGAGACCCAGGAGCACCGCTTGAGACTGGACGCGGACGGGCCCCACAACGGCTAGACCGAACGCGCCTCACAAGGGCGTCCTTTCTCGCGAAGGACCTAACGCAGAAAGGGCATTTCTCATGTTTCAAGCCTGCGTCTGAAATCACTTCTGCCGTCGGGTTTGCCTGCGCCTGATGAGCCGCATGCTCGTGATTTGCCAGCCCCTTCTCCCCATTGCATTATTGACCGCGCACGTCGCACTCCCGCCAAGCAACTCCAGCGGCATCAACAGCGGAGTCCGCGACGACGCCACGCGCAAGCACGCGTCGGAAGCATCGCGGCCAAGGGAGGCAGGCCATCGCGGCCGCGGCCCAGTCAGTTCAGGAAGGTCACCGCGGAGCTGTAAGTGGCGGCGCGCGGCAGGCTGATCCTGCGAATCGACCGTCGGCCAGACTTGGCGCGCGTCCTCCTTCACTAGCGCCAGCAAGCCCGAGCGCTGCTTGTGCCCGATCGCCCCGGACGAAAGCCGCCCAAAAATGACGGCCCTGACCGCCGGCGTCGGGTCGCACAAGCCCTCACTCGGCAGCCGCAAGGCAGGCCACAGCACACGCCTCCACCACCGCGATCTTCCCATCAACAGCGTGCTCGTGACCGTCGGCGTCCTGGCCGACCGCCTGATCTCCCGATTGGTATTATTGCAAAGATGGGCTGGCGTATTCAGAAAGCCTCGAAGCTTCCGCACCTGCCAGCTCTGCAGCCTGTTCAGCCCCCCTCTTGGTGAGATTGGCGATCTTCAGGCAATAGAAACACACTGACCGCACCAATGCCTTCCACAGGCGAATCTCCAACTTGGAGCTGAAGCCACTCTTGAATGCGAGTCGAAAAAGACGAGCACGCGCAGCGCTGGCTGCCTTGATCCTGCTCGCGACCTCGGCCCGACGGGCGCCCGTCGCCGCCAGCTGCGCCACGCGGCACTTCGCCGTCGCTCGAGGGCGGCGCGGGGGGAACAATCGCCATCGCCCCATGCCGCGGCACCCGTTGCGTGAGCCCTAAATGCGCCCCAGCCTCTGCTCACTGCCCGCCCCCGCAGGCGCGTGGAGGAGCTCCGTCTTCTCCCCGTTGACCCACATCCCTCCGTGCTTGATCTCTCCCGTCGCAATCTCCTGGACGCTGGATGCGCCATCGAGTTCCTCCACCTCCGCGAACGAGAGCAGATCGCCCAGGAACTTCAGCTGCGACACGCCCACGCACTCGCACGCGTCCACATCCAGGTTGTCATTGCACCTGGTCCTCTTGAACGTCAGGTCGAAATCCACCTTGATGGCCGCAGACTCGCTGCGCCGCACTGTTCCGCGGCCTTCGCCACCAGCCCATCGAAGACCGCCAAGAAGAGGCCCGGGCTCTCAACCCCACCCTGGCGCACCCCTCCAGCACCCAAATCCTGTCGGCGGGCCCGCCCGCATTAACATCTCTGAACAAGTAACACCTTAGCATCCCACCACTCCGACAGGTTCGCCAGACTTTGCCACATGTCCCGCCGATTCACCGCGTCGAACGCCTTCTCAATGCCCGCGAGCACCGCGAGCAGCATCGGCGGCGGCGCCGAGGAGCTTCCCCGCCGTTTCGCACGATGGGCCCGCTTGCGTCGCACAATCACTTCAACTGCCACCACCACTGCATCACGCGCGCCTCGCCCTGGCACTGCCCCAATGCGGGCCGGCGAGATCCTGCGCGCCACCTCCTTCATCGCTCCGAGCGTCGTCACCCTGGCATGCGCCTTCCGCGCGTGGCCAATCAAACTGATGGTCCCGTTGTCCCTCACCGCTGAGCTGCCATCGCCCATCGGCTTCTTCAAATGCATCGTCTCTCCGCCCTTGAACCTCTGGGCGGCCCCACCCAACGCCTGCGCCGCGTTGAAAAACTGAAGCAGCGGGGCCGCAACCTAGTCGATCACCAGCTTCCATGCCTCGGCTACCACCCACAGGTTGCCCCCTCTGCGGCCGCCGCAGCATCGGACCTCCCGTCATGTTTGGCAACTCCCTGATGCCATGCCATACTTCGTTGACAGTGCACAGGCCGATCCCGCCATCATCTCTGCCCGCACTTCGCACGCGGAGGAGCATCCTCAAACCACATCGCCTGACCACCACACACCTCACACATGCCCTGGATGCGAACCCGCCCATCGTCCTCCGAGTCGAAGCACAGCAGTCCATTACTAGGATCTTGCACCGTCATGACGAGGGCGGTCGGGGCTAGCTGATCGACAATCGCGCGGGGCCTCCTGAATTTGCGCTGTCCCGCAGAACTCTCGGCCATTTCCGCCAGCGCCGCCGTCCTCTGTCTCTTCTCGCTCCTGGTGGCAGCAGTCGCCGCCTTCGCCACCACGTCGAAACGCTGCTGGCCGCTGGGGCAAGCGCCTCAGTGACGTCGAGCAATCAGAGAGGGCTGCCAGCTGCCTCTGCCAATATTGCTTTGTCTGGACCAGCTGCACCGTGGAACCGCTAAACACTGGACCCGAGCCTTCCCCCCGCGTAGGAGGGGATATGAAATCCTGCCCCGCCGCGTCAATAACCGCACCCTCCATCGCATCAAAGTACGTCGGGGGCGACCCGCATCCCCCCCCCCCAACCTTACCCCCCACCCCCCCCTCCTGCAGCCCCTTTTCCACGATACCCTCCGGCACATTCACCCGAAACTCAAGTAGGCGACGCGGAAGCTACACACGGTTGCCATCGTCGTCTTCCGCCTGCTGCATTGCCGCAAGATCGGCCAGCAAGAGTTCTCGGCGCCGCCCGTAGCGACCTGCTGGCCGCGGGGGAAGTGCCCTGGCGCCAGCGAGGAGCCGCGTCTCCAACGGCCCGTGGTCCGTGTAGCCACCAAGGTTGACTGGGAGGTCGAATCGCGGTCGCGAAACATGCCCGCACCCTCCCTGTCGGCGCACCAACACGTAGTCCATCGTGGCCCACTTGCCCTGAGGGCTTCGCCACGCGCCATTGAATCTGCCTTTTCTTCCAAACGCGTTGAGGGCCATCGTTCCGAAACCCTCCATCAGCTCCATCAAAGCGTGACCGTCGCCATGAATATGCAGCCATGCCTGTCGCCCCTCAGCACTTCCCACCCACGGCAGGAGAGACGGCACATGGGCATTGACGTCCAGAGTCACGACAAGGGCCGCTCGAGCAGGGACCTGGCGGACTGAGATGCGGCAAACCTGCCAAAAGCGGTCACGGGACATCAATTGTTTCTCGCAGTGTTCCATGGCACCGGCGCCCTTGGGTGGATGGCCAGCCTCGTTGGTGGGGGCGCAGCCGTTCAGGATAGAAAGTCGCGCTCGGAACGTCTGCTGCATGAATTCCTGATCCTGACACCCTGCAAGTGCCCGTCAAGCCACGCCTGCTCACATCGAATTTCATTCGACCTGAAGAACTTCGTACTAATCGCGATGAAGGAGCCGTCCCGCTGCCCTTTTGCCCGACCTCGCCAGGGAGTGTACATCGTAGGTGCCCGCCTTCCATTTTTTCCCCAAGTCCATTCGTGTGCCCTGCATCGTGAAAATCGTCACATCCTCTGTCTTAGCCAACTCCAGCAACTCGTCCAGCCTGCCAACCCTGCGAAGCGACTCGCGTTGAAACGCCACACCTTCAGCGTCCTCGCCTTCGGCGGGGACTTCACCACCTTCAGGGCAACTTCCTCCTTCGCTTCTCCTTGAGTTTCAGTTGGTAGTGCAGGCAACCGGACCACCGAGCTCAACACCTCGGTGGATCCCTGCTGCGCGGCTGCGGCCCGTGTCATCCTCCGCCCGTGATACCAAACTGCTCCCGCCACCAGCGCGAGCCTCACCGCTCGCCTCCTGGCCCGGTTGCCACGCATGACCCTTTCCGCCCTGTTTCCAGCAGCACAGCAGCATACGGCACTGGCGCCGCCGTCTTCGCGGGTCGGGCTCCCCGCGAACGCTCACCTCGCAGTGGTCGGTGGAAGTTGCGCCCTCCCCGCCTTAGCGTCCAACAGCCGCCATGGCGCGGTCGACGAGGGATAGTGCACTGGCCAAGACTTGCGACTTGGCACGGCCGTCGCTCCGACGCAATCGTCTCGAGCCGACGAGGCCTTCGCCGGCTTTCCGCCGGCTTCCGCCGGCGCAGCCCCCCTTGGTTTACTTCCGCCGCCCTTCCGCCGCCCTTCCGCACCCTCCTGCCGAGGACGAGACCCCAACTCCTTGGACCCTCGGA